GAGTCTGTTATGGTCGACCACGTTGATGAAGGCGAGTAAAAGGTGATCATATATTAAGGTAGATGTTGGCCAGGGTGCAATGGCCGCTCCACACTCCCTCAGTCTCCAACTCTCACTTTTTTCTCTTTTTGCTTCTGCGCCACACATCATTTGGGTGGTCACGTGGGTCATCCGCAGCAGCTGTGTTTATTATGGCGTTCTTTATTGGCTGTGTCCTCTCAGTGGCTGCGTCTGGGCTTACTTACACCCAAGTATAAATAAAGTGAACAGCGAAAACAAAGAAAAGGAAATCATATGTGATGCCACGCCATTTACACACACACACACACACACACACACACACACAGGATTATAGCCTTTCCATCACTATTTTAAGATATTTCGCCATACAGTAATGTTCCCTACGTCACCACTGCATCCCGTCCGCCACTTTCAATTCACAAGTTCTTTGGTGTCGCTGAGCCAATCACTGTTAACAGAGTGACGTTCATACACCTGGCAGTGCTTGTGGACGCACTCTCTTTCTGACCTCTTTTTGGCCGCCACTGAACACCTGTTGGCTATTAGTGCTTGTGTGCTCGCGTGCGGGTGTTGTGCGTGCGTGCGTGCGTGCGTGTGTGTGTGTGTGTCGCCTCCAAGCATAGTTTATGAGGGGCCATATTAACAGGCACAACTTTCCTTTTTAACTACTGTACTTTATGAAAGGAAAGCTCACCTGGCCATCACACACCCGGCCATCACACACCCGGCCATCACACACCCGGCCATCACACACCAGACCATCACACACCCGGCCATCACCCTGTACTGTATCTCAACTCTCTGGGGTCACACTCGAATGCTTTTGTTCCCTCGGCATAAAAAAACAATAAAAATAATTCACTCCTCTTTGACCTTCCTATTTTACACCTCAATATCTTATAAAAATTCATATTCAAAAGATTTTGTCTGTCTTAATTAACAGTTTTATAAAATTCGAAATCCATCTCTTTTTTTTTATAATAAACTTTAACTTCCACGAACTTCAGCTTTGATCTTGTTTTCATTTTTCTTATCAAACTTTCGAGAAACCTGACCTGGGAACTTCAGAACGTTGTATTAATTATTTCGAGACGAATTTATAACTGACGCACACCTCGTTATGCCCAATTTAGGTGAGGCAAAGCTGTCTGTCTGTTAATTAAGGAGGTGCCACTATATCTCATATCTGGCAAAAACCAGCTAATTGGTTCATTAAATTCTGCTTTGTGAAGAAGGCAGAGTGAGAGGCAGGACACTAAGTGGACTGTCGTGAGCGCCCTGGTTTGTCTGTGACTTGTCTGAGGTGCTGTGCTTTTGAGAGGGAGCATAGGTGGTTTTGGGAACATGGGGGAGAGCATAGGTAGTAGGGAGGAGAGCATAGGGAGGAGGGGGAGAGGGAGAGCATAGGAAGGGGTAGAGGGGTTGAGAATTGATCATATAACCAACCTGAAAATATCGTATTATGTAATCTGTATATAGAAGCTGTGTAGTGTAGTAAAACATGTGGTAACAATGTAGTAATATAAATGATAACTGATAAAGCTAACATTAGAAACCTTATTAATAAACTTGCAGTGTTAAATAAAAACTTAGAATACATAGCTTTCTCCTAATCCTCGAGGACCTAACCAATCAATGCACAGCTCACAATACACACCCAATAAACGCCCAGTTAACATATAAATCCTCATATACCCAACCAATCAATGCCTAACTCACATATGAACCCTCAAATAACCAACCAATCAACATCAAGCTTACATATAACCCCCTCAAGTATCCAACCAATAAACGATCAACACATGTCCTCACGTAGCCAAACACTTAACACCAATTATGTATGTAAATAAAGTGTTTAATTGGATAGGTACAACGTGTTTGAAAGGTAAGTTAATTTTTTTACTAAGGATTTGAAAGTGTTCGTGCAAATGAAGTGATCGGTCAAATGTTTTTTTACTAGTTATGTGTATCTGCAGTGCATCCGTAGCACTATAGAACACACTCAGTGACAACTTACTAGAATTTCCTTTCACTATATTGAGCTAAAATCAAATCTCAATGCAATTCTGACGACATTTAGGTGATATTTTTTGTGTGTGCTGCAAGTCACTTAGGAAATTAGGAGAATTACTTAACAAATAAACCCCTGAGGAGCCAGACACTGCAGGGCTTCGCATCTACATTCCAAATGAACTTATTATCATGACTGCCTGTTGGTGGACTCGGCCTCTTGTCTCTACTGCAGTGTTTGGTTGTAAACTTCATGGCAGCCATTAATGTGGGCGGTTGCTCAGGGTATGTGACTGTCTGGGGTTGGTGGGTGTAGTAACTATGTGTGATTGGTGGTTGATGTGGTGTGTGAGTGATTGATGGGTGTAGTAACTAAGTGTGATTGGTGGTTGATGTGTTTGTGAGTGTGATTTGTCGCCGTAATAAATATATACGATTGATTAGTCTGTATTATGACTAGGTGACATTACCTGTTATCTCTTCTATTGACTCCTATTGCCTTAAACAATCAACAATTACCTTCACAATACCTTCAATTAGTCCCAGTAATTACGAACAATGTCAATAAACGTCCGTCAAGCAAAATTAGAATTCATAAGAGAGAAGAACACACGGGATTTTTTTTATACCTGACAGACAGACAGACAGACAGACAGACAGACAGACAGACAGACAGACAGACAGACAGACAGACAGACAAAAGTAGCTAAAAACACAATTATTATATCTTCGTGTCCTCGTAGAAGGAGAAACATAATTGCTACCTAACGTCCACAGCGAGACAAGAGTGACCTATCCAGAAGTAAGTTAAGTCCTCTTGGTGTGGTTGTGGCCGCTCATGACAGCAGTTGTGTTCCTCTGTACGACCTACTGGTAGCTGTCTGAAGGTTCCTCTGGTGTTTGTGTGTGTGTGTTAGTAAGATCTCTCTCTCTCTCTCTCTCTCTCTCTCTCTCTCTCTCTCTCTCTCTCTCTCTCTCTCTCTCTCTCCTATGTGAACTTAACAGCACTTTCTTATTATTTTTTTTCGTTTTGTTGAGGAGTGAAGGGCTAACTTAACAAACTGAATGTCCCTTAATTGTCTTGCAATTTTCTGTTCCTTACGTATTTTCTTGTACTGTTGCCTCTACACTCTGTCCTCCGTACATTGATGTTGTGTTGTAGTTGGTTAGGTTAGTGTACATGAGGTCACACGCCAGAGACCTTTAGCCCTGATTAACCTTCCTTAGGACGCTCGCTGGGTTTACCTGTAGCACTGTCTCACAGGTGACAATCAGCTGCCTTTGATGTCGCTGGAGTCATTACGGCAGGATATTACAACGAAGCTGTGTGATTTGTCACTGCCACACATCAGTCACTTTCCAGATCAGTGCGAGTGTCTGAGATAGATTCCTAGAGTGGGTGTGGCAGTGATGAGCCTTTGTGAGGGTTTCCGCCGCCTCTCCCGTCACCCTGGCGTCCTCTGCTAACAAGATTTGTCCTGGTGATGAGAGTGTATAATGATGGTAAGCCTCAAGCACTGTGATAATTCATGTCCCGTCGAGGTGAGGTGACTCATTGTGCTTGTGTGAACGAGTATACTGTGAAGCTGCAGGGGTTCTGGTGCCAGGCGACAGGTGAATTTCAGTCTCAAGACAACTCAGCGGTTCATGTCCCAAACTCTGTATATTAACTTTGTGATGGACTATGGTGACGTGACAGTGGTGACAGCGGCAATATGGTAACCCCTGGACTATGGGGTGGCCCTCAGTGTTGACAAGACCGACAGTGGGACAACACGCTTCATTAGCGCTGACGGAACACACAGACGGAAGCTGCAGTTAACTTGATGGCAACAATAAAGACCAAAGAGGCAGCCACACAAACAAACCTGACCGAGGTGCAGTGGAGGAAGTGGTTAGCCATCTAAAGTAAGAAGATGGCCACCTAGAATTAGCAGGTGGCCATTATAAGATTCTGGCCATCTTGAACGAGGAAAAGGTCCACTTAGGAATAAAATCAAGGTAGACAAACCCTTATGCACCATACCATGAAGTTAGGTGAATGGCGTGTGACTCATCCAGCTTAATGTAAATTGCATTAACTGAATACTGCAACGTGATTTGAGTTAAGAATTAAGACTCAAGGGAGAAATAAACACGTAGCCACTTATGAACGTTTATAAGACACTCAGGAAGGTCGCTCGTGTAGTAAGTGTCAGGGGAGCCATAGCATCAACTCTCACGTGAGGTGAACCAAGTCAGCTGACTGAGAAACTAAATAAAACAGTTAAATAATATAAGTATAGAGAACAGAGACTCGGGAACAGTACAGGAGAATATAATTACCAGCAGTGATGTAAGAAAGTGCCAAGAAAAACTCCTGGAATGGTGACTAAAAGTTAAAGTAGATTTAGGAATGTAAGGATAATGTGAGGCATGATGCAGTCAATACCAGGAACTGTGTGAGGTGAGGATAGGATAACATGATAATATATAAAGGATATTACAGTGTATGAGGAGTGAAGCAGGATGGTCTAGGCCTCTAGGGTGTAAAATAGCGTCATAATGGTACAAGGTGTAACCAGTAATGGTACAGGGTGTAGACAGTAATGGTACAGGGTGTAGACAATAATGGTACAGGGTGTAGACTGTAATGATACAGGGTGTAGACAATAATGGTACAGGGTGTAGACAATAATGGTGCAAGGTGTAGACTGTAATGGTACAGGGTGTAGACAATAATGGTACAGGGTGTAGACTGTAATGATACAGGGTGTAGACAATAATGGTACAGGGTGTAGACAATAATGGTACAGGGTGTAAACAATAATGGTACAGGGTGTAGATTGTATTGGTACAAGGTGTAGACAATAATGGTACAAGGTGTAGACAGGGATAAAATCAAGAATGCAGTGGCGGGCAGGAAGGTTATTGAGCGGAGCCCTGATGTGGTGGAGAGGGCCAGACCGTCTCCATGCTGGACTGCGGATACCGCCCCACCACTCTCCCTCTCTCTCCCACTCTACTAGCACCACCGTCACCCTCTCCCTGCCTCTCATTCCCTCTTTAGTGAATGTGTGACTAGAATACAGATCCACTTAGTCTATTTACGTGGAGAGGAAGACTGGCCTGTCATTTGTTGTGATGCCTGGCTTTGAAGAACAGTGTTAAGCTGGGAGGGCGGGGGTACATGGTTACTCCCGTAGAGGCGCAGTGTTTGTGTTGTGGTGCATGTGGCAGTGTTATCTCTGTGCGCCTGTTGTTTATTTATCTTGATGAAAGAACTATTGTACGTTTACTTGAGGTGTGTTCATCTACCGCGTAAATATAATACCCAAATGCGTTATCATATGTGAGTTGTTTACCCAGAAACCTTTTATTTCAAGTAAAAAAAAAAAGAAATTCTTAGAAAACCTGCCTTTATGGTTTGTTATGAAGATCAAACTGATGAAACGTGGATACTCTTATAACATTACGGTAAAATTGAAAACAAAATGAACAATGAATACGGATGACCATCGTGCGTGTGTGTGTTGACCTCAGTGTTAATATACGATACAGGCAAGACAGTTTAAGAATTCCTCAGATCTGAATTAACAAGAAAGATCAAAGCAATATTAATCACGTATATATATTAATGAATCCCAACAACAAGAAAATTCTGTATTCTGGTAAAGTTAAGATTCGCTTCTTTGTTCGTGTAAGAGACGGGAGCAACAGCTGACGACCCTGAAAACCAAAACGTCAGCAGAAACGTCAGCAGAAACGTCAGCAGAAACGTCAGTATATTGAACCCTAAGAAAGTATCAGTATTTAGTGAGTTATTTGAGGCGTCACATAACGTTGCATGACACTATATCTATATGGTGAAAAACCTGGATATATGGTGATTAGTATAGTGTTATGGGACTAAAAAAGAACGACTATAGTGCCTTGACGGTGACCAGTGCAGTGATATTGTGCGATTCTAGGCTATGGTGTCGTACTAGTGACCAATATAGTGATGTAGTGTGAGCAGATAACGAGGTTGTGAGAATCTCTTGTCAAGCTGAGAGATGTTACTGAGTTTGTAACACAGGATTGAAGTCTCTGTGTTTATGTTATCGTGACGGGCTCCTCTAGGTAGGTCGTGGTACTCTTAAGTGTTTGTTTATTCTCGTCTTTAATTAGGATGAATATTTTGCCTTATACCAGAAAGTCAATTCAATAAAAAAAAGTAGTTTCATATGATTTTAATATTAAATAGTTTACGATATTATTTTTGACCTACAGTTATATACTTTTGATATCGACTAAATAATATTTATTTCAGTGAAGATTAAATTTTGATTGAAAATACAACAATGAGGAGAAGTTAATGTTTAATCAAAAAATAAATGCTCCTTAATAACATCCATCCAGCCTTTGTTTGAGCCTTAATAACATCCATCCAGCCTTTGTTGTCTCGTCAAAAGTTGCTGTTGTTTCGTGGACGCTGTCATGGGAAGTTTTGATATGTTCATAAAATATCCAAACCTTCCGATATATAACTTTGGAAACTTTGATAGTAATTGGGAGGGAAGAGAGTCTGATCTTGCCGAGTTCCTCACGTGTTTGTGGCTGATCTATGTGAATGTATATAATTAAAGTTTATTATATGTAGAAATACCAGTATGGAACCCCGTATTTATATTGTGGTTTCTGAAAAAATATATGGTAATGGAAGGATGGTTTAACTTGTTATTGTCTCTTGGGTACACCACTCGCCTCTTGTCCCGAGGGTCAATGGTTCGATTATACACAGTGTCGTAGTGTCACGGTCACACACTGTCATATTCATACTCAGTGTCACGGTCACACACTGTCATATTCATACTCAGTGTCGCAGTGTCACGGTCACACACTGTCATATTCATACACAGTGTCACGGTCACACACTGTCATATTCATACTCAGTGTCGCAGTGTCACGGTCACACACTGTCATATTCATACTCAGTGTCGCAGTGTCACGATCACACACTGTCATATTCATACACAGTGTCACGTCACGTTCACACACACACACACACACACACACACACACACACACACACTCATTATAATACATAAACACACAAAGTTATAATATTCACATTATGTCTCTCAGGTTACTAATAAAAACTCACATTTCTTGAATTCCTGAAAGGCTTTTATATACGTGGTGTAAGGTGGTCAGTAGGGCGGAAAATTAATTGTTAATTTGCTCACAGACGTTGAAAAAAAAACACCTATAATATATTGAGTGTTGAAAGAATTTAATTTAGCAGGAATTCCGTATCAGCATCGTATTTTGTGTTCATGAGTCAGCAGAGTTTAAAATTTTGGTCAGAAATATGTCTTGGAAATTTTAGCATGTTGGTGTTTATATGTCTTGATTGGGTGAAAAATTAGACATTGATGTATCTAGAAAGGTGGAATTTTTAGCCATAATTACGAAAACTAGATATTTAAGAAAGTATTGTTAGGAAAGTTAGAATAGTTTCGTCATACTTTTACTGTAGCTATATCTAGTGTGTGTATTTTATGATGATTTTTCTACTTCCGGCATTGTGAAAAACCTTCGACTTTCAGAAAAATCAAACTTGTTTAATAGATGTATCAAGTAAAGTCAAAATACCAGCTTAGACGTTGTGTAAAAGACTGAAAACTTAGGAATAGATGCGACTGAAAAATTCAAAACCAGGAACCAAATCCATCGATGGACGAGTTACAAAAGTCCAGAGAGTTGGAAAAGTTAGACAGACGCGCTTGAAGTCTAATGATTTAAATGACCAAGGCTGGAAAGTTGTGTAAAGGAAGCGTCACCCATAAGTTGTAAAGAATAAAAGATGAGAGGGGGAAAAATTTGGTGTGTTGGAATGCTGAGTCAAAATTTCCGGTGTGACGTGAAGATGGGCAATGTGCGTGTACCCCGGGTCGATATGATACTCTAGGTGGGGTGCTTAACCAAACTGGGATTCAGTACACACACACACACACACACGAGAGATGATTGTATATTATCCAAACATTAGAATAAGAGAAGAAAAATGAAGGAAAGAACAATGAAAGGAGGAGATACAAATTAAAGATACTTAAACTTTCCAGCTGACAAGACTTTGGAATGTTTACTGGAATTCCTTAGTAGTTAAAACAGGAATTAAGGACAACTAGCGTGTATTGAGACACAATTTAAGACATGTAGTACAGGTGATGGCGGGCGTTGATTATATAAAGTATGCGAGTAATGTCATCCAAAAAATTGAGGATGATAAAAACAATATTTTTTAGAGTTTGTTTCTTTGCTAAGTTTCAAGAAGTAGATATGACGAGATGTTGATTAAGTTACTGGTGTAGGGAGAAGAACCCTCTGTCACTCTTACAATGTTTTGATTTAAGGAACGAATGATGTATTAGGATTATATTTTACCTATTTTCTTTCTTGAGACTGATATAGTTTACTCCAGCCGCTCCACAACACGACCCGTTTCCTCTCTCGTCTCAGAACCTCGACACTATCTAGACAACATACGTTTCTGGCGAGATCTGCCTTGAGGTCTTACTTTACCAAACATTCTTTTAAGTCCCCTCAAGTCTTTAATTATCTATGTGTCTCTCCACCTACTGTATGATGTTGTAGGAGGTTCACATCTGACAACTATTATATTACTGAAGTGCGTCAAGGTCCAGCCAGATCTACCTCCTTCAGTCTGCTTATTCCCCATTGATTATCGTCTCACAACACCTTCCACCTACACCCTCTCCTTTGCTCATAATAATCACTCCATAAATGTAATATCCATACCCAGTCAAGTCTCCTAGAATATTCCCTAAATATTACGTCCTTGAACACAAATTCTATATCCACTGCACACTGAGGTCGTAATCTTACTACATTCAGTACCACCAACATGCGCGTTCTTTCGCTAACTAGCAAGATAAATTTCAACCTCCACTTTTATTCAGTAACATCCGCGTTATATCACCCATTAGTGTGTAATATCCTTAGTCTTACTATAAATAAAACCTCTCCTGAAACTCAGACATTTCCTAAAGTGAAAATAATGCATCTGGAAATAGGTGTTCTTCCTCCGAGGTCCTTCCTGGTGTAGTGTATACACCTCCCCACAGCTCACACACACAGACACACACACACACACACACACACACACACACATGAAATATTACCTTCGTGGGCCAGGCGATGTTCCCAAGTCTTAAGTATGACTAGACATAAGACATCACTAACCAGACCTTCACTTCTCCCATGTCTCCTGCAGTGTCAGACGAGTTGCCTTCTTAATCTTTCCTTCTCTACCGCCATGACCAGTCTGCCAGTAACACCCAGATCTTCTCTCTACTGTATATATACACTACAGCCTTTACCAGCCTAAGTCCCCAGTGTGAGAGGCGAGAGTATTACCACCAGGCCACCGAGTGTTCAAGAGAGCTTAGAGTGATTTATTTAGTCCGCTTGTCCCCGGGAAGGATTCACCCGCACTGTGTGAATGACCACTGTAAATACTGAATATTCTGCCACGCTAAGATTAATAAATGTAGAATTCATCTAAAATAAATAATAATTTAACAGAGATTATGAGAATGTATTGACAAACACCAGGTAAATATAATTGCCTATTAATAATATCCTAACTATTAAACTAAAGAAAAAAAAATGTTTATTGATAATTTGATAGGTGTACACTGTGTAAGATACCGTACAGCAGTTTTTCTCACAACATACGACATATCGAGCAAAATATTGATGTGCCCCACGTACTATATTGTGTGAACCTGACTTAATGCATTGTGTAGTGACAAGACGATACCTGGTAATATGTTGACGTTACTGATGGAAAATGAAGTAATTTGTTACATTAGTTAACCTCAACTCTGCTGAATCCACAGAAGTAAACACGGGACATTTGTTGACACTTCTCTATGGCATGTGACCCACCTGGTTTACACGCACACACATCCTCTCTTCACGCCCCCTCCTCCTCACCACCCTTCCATCTCACCACCCTTCCATCACACCACCCTTCCCTCCTCACCACCCCTTCCATCTCACCACCCTTCCATCTCACCACCCTTCCACCTCACCACCCTTCCCTCCAGTCAGTTCCTTTTCACTTCCCTTCCATCACCAAATTCCTCTTCAATCTTCAAGTAATCCTCTAACACATAATATTTTCCCACGTCCACGTTCTCCACGCTCCTACATGCCTCTTCCCCACGCTCCTCCACCCCTCTTCCCTACTCCCCTCCACCCCTCTTCCCCGGATTATCCTCTCGTCACCTGTGTCCTTCCCTCCCTCCTCATACCCCGTCCTACACACTCCTCACACCCGTCACTCTTTTCCTGTCTCAGTATCTACTCTTATTTCCCCATTCCTCCGTCTCCTTAACCACCTCCTCGTGTGTCCTCCTGTTACCACCTCATCCCTTATGTATCCACGTTAATCCCCATGTGTTCCCTCATATCCCCTAATACCACATGCTCCTTCATCCCTCATACTCCCCCACCGCCCTCTCATCACACTCCCTTATAATACTGTCTTCATAACTCTTGTTTATAGTCGCTTATCTTGCATGCTGTCCTCACACCCCTCCTCTTGACCCCGCCCCTTAACCCCTACCCCATGGCCCAGCCTTTTGACCCCTCCCCCTGCCTCATAGCCCAGCCCCTTGACCCACCTGCCTCATGGCCCCGGCTCTTCACTCCCCAGCCCCTTGGCCCCGGCCCTTCACTCCCCTGCCTCCAACCCCTACACACCGTTCAAACTCCTACCCTTGTACCCCCCAACACTCACCCTTACACCACCTGTCCCATACACTACCTGCTCAATGTAAATGTTGACACGTTTACCCACAACATTACCTCAGGTAGTCGGCAGCAAGGCGGTCACCCCCACAAGCTACTACTACACCTCCTTCCCTACTTCCTTTAGTTCCGAATTACATAATTATTAATCCCCTTCACCACTAACCTTCTTTCTCAAAAACAAAAACAAAAACATGGATCTGCCCTAAACCCCCTGCCCCTTGCTCCCCTCTACTCACCCTAACATCACCTCTCATCCACCCCCTCACCTCTCACCCTCCCCCTCACCTCTCTCCCTCCCCCTCCACACCTCATTACACCCAGGCAGACCTAAAAAGCAGCAGTGCAGATGGCTCTTCCCCCTCAATAGTATGAGGCTCTGCGACACTGGTGGTGGTGGTGATGATTAAGGGAGAGGGAGGGGGAGGAGGAGCGTAGGTAGAAGTAATAAAGGTGAGGGAGTGGAGGAAATGTAGAGGAGGGGGAAAGGAAATGATAGGAGAGGGAGGTGATTATGGAGAGGTAAGAGAAGGTAGAGTAGGGAGGGATAGAAGAGGGAAGGGGGAATAATCGAGGGAGGGAAGGAAGAGAAATGGAGAGAAAGGGAAGGGGGAGGATGAGTAACAGGAAGGGGAGGGGAGGGGGGTGATAACAGGGAGGGGAAGAGAAGAAGGGGAGAGGTGGGGGATGAAAGGAGGAGGGAAGGGGTAACATGGGTGCCCTACTCAATCAAGGGGGACCAGCTTCCTCACGTAGAAGAGTGAGAGGAGGAAATGGTGGAGGTGTGGCAGTCAAGTGGAGGTTAGGGAGGTGTTCACATGGTGGTTATAGCGGCCCTATGAACACGAGAACAAGAAAACACGAGAACAAGAAAACACGAGAACAAGAAAATAAAATCAGTAACTGTGCAAGTTTTTTAGGGCGAGTGTGTTAGAGTTACATGAAGAATATGAAGGTAGATAAATTAACAAATGTAAGTCATTTTCATAGTTTCAATGGAATAATCAAATTTGCTAGAGGTTTGGTCAGAGGTGACAGTGTGAGCCATCAGTGAGACGGACGGACGAATAACCCGGAAACATAATATGCAGCCATGTGTCCGTCGATAGTGAAATACAGTGATTGAATAGTAGGTACAGTGAGCGTTGTGTGATGGAGAAGTGGATTAATTAAAAGTACCGCAAATATTTCAAGAGAAAAGTTACTAAAGTTACTCAAGTGACGTGGTAGATCTAGTGACGTGTGGTAGTAGGCAGGTGTACACATTCCCTGCTTTATTCATGCACTGGGGTACACATTCACTGCTTTATTCATGCACTGGGGTACACACTACACATGCATCATCGTATATATGAACCACAACACATGCACCAGCGTGTACATACACCTTAGTACACATCCATCATGGCAGAGGCAGCATGTGGCAGTCTCCACGCTCAACATGACGCAGGGAGGACACGAGGGAGGGGAGCAACACCTCTGCTTATTAAACGTGCAAGGTACATACCCGCCCTGTACTCCCTCACGGCCCTGTACTCCCTCACCGCCCTCCCTCACCACCCTGCCCTCCCTCACCGCCCTGCCCTCCCTCACCACCCTGCCCTCCCTAACCTTAATCTACCCTGACCTAACCTGACCTACCCTAATCCACCCTGACCTATTATAACCTACCCTGACCTGACCTAACCTAGGTCAGTTTTACCTTCGTTTTAAATAAGTGGCAGTAACAAATACACGGTAGGTGAAGCTCTATAATGCAGATACGTACAGTACACCCGAGGCAGCTAAATCCACCCACTCACGACTGTCATTGGCTTCCGCTAAAAACCTTCCGAAACATAAGAGAAGAACAGCAGGAACACCGAAATTGCCAGTGTGTGTGACGCTGTTACACACTGTCAAACACGTAATTTGTTTCTTGCTACTGGACGGTGAAAGAGTCCAACTACAAGTTTATGTGGTGTTTTGTGGTACTGGCAGCAAGTGGGTGTTGATTTACAGTATTTCTCATTACGATCGTGTGTGTGTGTGTGTGTGTGTGTGTGTGTGTGTGTGTGTGTGTGTGTGTGTGTGTGTGTGTGTGTGTGTGTGTGTGTGTGTGTGTGTGTGTGTGTGTGTGTGTGTGTGTGTGTGTGTGTGTGTGTGTGTGTGTGTGTGTGTGTGTCCGTATATATCTAAGCGCTTGTTCACTCACCTTGCAACCGCGGCTGTACAAATAACAACCACCATCCTCACCTCTCACCACACCACCACCATCCTCACCTCTCACCACACCACCACCATCCTCACCTCTCACCACACCACCACCATCCTCACCTCTCACCACACCACCACCATCCTCACCTCACCACACCACCATCCTCACCTCTCTCACCACACCACCACCATCCCCACCTCTCACCACACCACCACCATCCCCACCTCACCACACACCACCACCATCCTCACCTCACCACATCACCACCTCCCCACACCCTCACCACACCACCACCACACCTCACCTCACCACACCACCACCATCCTCACCTCTCACCACACCACCCACCATCCCACCTCACCACACCACCCTCACCTCTCACCACACCACCACCACCACACCACCACCATCCCTCACCTCTCACCACCACCATCCTCACCACACCACCACCTCCCACACCCCTCACCACATCACCACCATCCTCACCTCTCACCACATCACCACCATCCTCACCTCTCACCACACCACCACCATCCTCACCTCTCACCACACCACCACCATCTTCACCTCTCACCACACCACCACCATCTTCACCTCTCACCGCACCTGTGACCTAGCGTGTGTTGTCCTCTTAATTAATATATACGACAGATATAGTGGGTGGTGAAATGGTCATGATCACGTAGTCAACAAGCTGGGACGCCGCCCTCTCTCCCGGGTGAGAGAGAGAGAGAGAGAGAGAGAGAGAGAGAGAGAGATGTAGTCTTTGAAGGATTATGTGGATGCTTTGTACATAAAAGCCTCGTGTTAGGATTTCGTATTCTCTCTCTCTCTCTCTCTCTCTCTCTCTCTCTCTCTCTCTCTCTCTCAGCACCATGAAGTATATATAAACTCATGCTTGTGTAATAATACAAACATTTTATTCACCTGGACACCTGAAAAACAATTTACATGAACTCATTGTTACAATAATGAAATTCAACATACCTTTTCTGAAAAACTAATTCAGTAGTGCAGTTGGTTAATTTAATCTACCCGTTTCATTCATTTAATTGTAAAAAAACAGTAAAAGTTTTTTGGGGCCTATAATTAGTTTTTTTTTATCATTATTTATAGGTTTAATGTTTTCTCGGCCGGATGAGCAATTAACAGTTCCTTTCATTCATTATTATATTTTTGTGACGTTTGAAATTGTGAAGAAAAAATAGGAATAAATTCACTATTCAATTACAATTATTATTCCCTCGACACGTGATAATATTTGGGTCATACATGATACTAAATTACTCGACTTTGACCAGGTGGACTGACAGGTAAGGGTGGAGGGGGGGTACTGGTCAGGATATTATGAGTCGGTAAGTTAATTATACCCACCTTGGTGATAATAAAGTGATGGCCATAATGATCATCCGGGAAATAAACTCTAATTGCAAAGTTAATGAAGGAAAGGCTTATTAATGTACAGCTAATTGTTATTATTGGTCTCTCTCTCTCTCTCTCTCTCTCTCTCTCTCTCTCTCTCTCTCTTTCTCATCACGCTGGTTATCGTATAATTTTGTGTGTTGCTTCAGCTCGGTATCGTCAGCAGTTATAACAAGCAGGAAAATTAACCAACTTATCACGTAATTTCACGCAACAGCCAATACTAACCTGATAATAGCTGATTCCTTCTCTAATTTCACTTTCTGATTACAATTTACTTCCCGGTCAGTGAGTTGATGGAAACTGAACTACTGATAGAGTTTATGTTACCATACGCAATGCATTATAGGTCTTATATTGCGATACAGGAAGATGATGTTTTTCTGAACTTTAATTAGATGTTATTTAGTCAGTGCATAGGTATAAGAAGTCAGCTCACTCATGAAAGTAAATAAGTCCAGCTACGAGGTCAAACTCAAGGTCACACAGGTAAATCCATTGTTTGGTTGATCATTTACTTGGATCAGTTAATCTCTACACCTGAGTTTAGTGCAATCATCGTTCCTTTAGGTTCGTATTCTCTACCACTAAAATTTCATCTTAGATTTTCCACTCTATGTATTGTACCACATCAGGTAATTACACTAATAACCATAACCTTATAATGTGTTTCTTTTTTGGTAACAGGTGGAGGCGGCCGTCACCACACACAGGTGATCCAGACGGAGACACTGTGACCCCTGGACCTCTCTGGCAGGTTAGATATTACACCTGTTCCTTTTTGACAGGTAAGACAACACACCTGTCCTTCCATAGTGTATAACCTTATCCCTGGAGTCGCTGAGTCCTCATTTAACGATATATTATAAAAGTATAAATGCTGCCGGAAGTCATTTTATTCATACATAATTGTAAAAAAAAATAAACATTGACTTTTTCCTAACTAAGATTTAAGATAGTGTGGATATTAATATGTATTGAAACCAAATTTTGTCGTTTTTTTAGTAGTGAGTTTAAAGTAATGGTAGAAATGCAATACTAAAAGCTGCTGAGGTTGGTAAATAGAACGCATAAGACCAGGCGCACGTACTTATTGCCCCTCATTTCTCATCACCAACCACACGTTTGTTCCTTGTACTTGGTGTGAGAAATGCTGAGAATTATATTACCTAAAATCATATATTATAGAAGAGGTACTAATAAATGTTTGGAGGTTAGAAGTATAAGTGAGAAACATTAAGATGGGGGTTATGTTTCTCAGGTGAACAAAAGCAATTATTTCAAACAAACCTGAAATAATGTTTAATATGACCTGAACTAACCAATGAATAGTTTGTTTCTCAGTTCAGACAATGTGTTATTTATATTTCTCACAGCTAAAGTTACGTTTATATTTCACAGGTCAGACAGAGCAACATAAAGGAACTAGTCACTAGAGAAGAACTTAACAAACCAAGAAAGAACCCCCACCCCCCACACCCCCACACCCCTCCCTACAAGACCACAACCAACACGGAACTACGACCAGAACTACGGGTTTTAGGAGCGTTTTAGAAACATAAGATAAGAAGACTACAAACACATCGACTTAATACGGGTCAAACTCAGCGAATCCCTGACCATCGCCTGTGAGTTATTGATACACGGGACTACGCGGTCAAGGCTGGTTATACGGATCAATAAGCCACTGATTGAAAGCTATACCATCAAATACTACTTAATACGGACCAAAGGACGCTGATTGCAGGTTTACGGACCACGAACCAAACGCTGGTAGCCACGGACACAGAGAGAAGAGATAGAGCGAGTGAGTGTATTGTTTCGGACTTGAAGCAAAGAAACAAGATCACAGAACACGATGTCTTGGTCAGCAGGAACACCTGAGCCTCGAGGCAGACTCTTGGATGGCGAACAACACACCAGGCGAGGTTCTCCAGGTAAGACTTAATGTGACACTTGAGGTGTAGGATGGCAAGTGAGGTGTAAGATGGTAGATGAGTTGTAGGATGGCAGGTGAGGTATAGGATGGCAGGTGAGGTGTAGGATGGCAGGTGAGGTGTAGGATGGCAGGTGAGGTATAGGATGGCAGGTGAGGTATAGGATGGCAGGTGAGGTGTAGGATGGCAGGTGAGGTGTAGGATGGCAGGTGAGGTATAGGATGGTAGGTGAGGTGTAAGATGGTAGATGAGTTGTAGGATGGCAGGTGAGGAAGAGGATGGCAGGTGAGGTATAGGATGGCAGGTGAGATATAGGATGGCAGGTGAGGTATAGGATGGCAGGTGAGGTGTAGGATGGCAGGTGAGGTATAGGATGGCAGGTGAGGTATAGGATGGCAGGTGAGGTATAGGATGGCAGGTGAGGTATAGGATGGCAGGTGAGGTATAGGATAACAGGTGAGGTATAGGATAACAGGTGAGGTATAGGATGGCTTTTTGATCACCTGTATATAAGAATCATCGATGGCTCTACAAGCTACCTGGTAAATGTTGTAATATATGCATAAACGACATTAGTTTTCTTGGGTAATGCTCGAGTTTCACCTTGTCTCCCTCCTCCAGACCTCCTTGGGACTCCGGCTGGTGGTAGTCCTCAGTCAGGCACGCCCCTCCTCAGCTTACGTCGCCCTCCACGCCCCTCTACACCCTCCACCACTCCTGTGTCGCCTTCCAACACCGGCACACCTCCACATTCCGGTACACCTCAGCCTGAGTCCATACCATCGTCCAGGAGGTGAGTTGTGGTGGATCACTGGTGGATCACTCTAGTGGAATGCTTATTGGTGAATGATAATGGTGACTTAAGGAGCGCAGTAGAGCCTATAGTAACGATAAGAAAGGTTTAATGTTTGGGTTTTTCTACTTAAAAAATCTATCATGGGCTAAACGACCCTTAAGTGTAGTTCGGGTGTTCTGGAATGATTCACAATGAAAGATTTTAACTTGTACCCTCCCTCAGGTCGTCTCTCTTGCCACCCGGAACTGACTCCCGTCGGGGCTCCCTCACGAAGAAGGCGTTGACGGGGCTGGTGAAGGACGCCAGAAAGGGCATTAGGAATGTGACAGACACCTCCATGAAGGCTGGCCAAAAGGTAAGAGAATGACGAGTGTGAATGATGTGGATATAATGGGTAATGGCTGATAACATGGATGGGGAAAATATGGAGGGAGAGAGGGAGAGATATTAAGCTGATACTTACGCCATTAGTAAAATATCCGTAATTAGTCCAATGTCCGTGATTAGTATATATCCGTGATTAGAAAAATATCCGTCATAGTTATAGGAACAGTGAGTTTCTAAGGTGAACGTCGTGAAAAAAAAAATCACAGAAATTGTTGTATATTTATATAACAAAATTCCCGCCTTCCAAGTAATGTGTTATTATGTTCAGAGAAAATAATGTTGGCAGTATAACACATTTGGTTTTGATTGTATCTTATACTTTTGTTTTATGATGAGAAACATTAGCGATGCTGCCACTGAATATAGTACAGTATATAACATGTGTCTGGTATTAAGAACACAAGAATGGCGGAAACTGCAGCGGGCCTATTGGTCCATATTGGGCAGTCCCATTTACACCCAACCCCTATCGCTCATATATCCACCCAACCTATGTTTGAAGCTATCCAGCGTATTCGAGTTAATGAAGGTGTTTGGTAACTTGTTCCACTCGTCCACTACTCTATTTCCAAACCAGTGTTTACCTATTTCGCGCCTAAACATAAATTTATCTAATTTAAAACCATTGCTACGATTTCGCTCCTGGTTGGATAGTTCGAGTACCTTTGTAATGTCACCTTTGTTTGGCCCTGACTTCCATTTATACACCTCAATGCTTGCTCTTCTTAACGCTACACCTGCCAGGGAAAATAATCCTTTGTTCTATATATATATATAGATAGATAGATAGATAGATAGATAGATAGATAGATAGATAGATATATACTCGTATAAGTATATATACAGTATAAACCGTAATATTCATGTGTGTGTGTGTGTGTGTATGTATGTAGGTGTAAAGAGAGAGGGAGAGAGGCTGTTACTGTGTGTTTCAGTAAGCCCGTAAGCCTATTACATAATTGTTGTGGTTCCTGATCATCGTAGCGGGAAATTACAATATGTATCTTCTGTAAACGCTGTATCAGTCTAACAATTCCATGTTCGTGTTTATGTATCAGTATCCGACACATATAATGTAGTACTGAGCTACAACAACGCGTTTACTAGATTATTAATTCCACTTGTCATGAGAAGTTAGGACAGATACAACTTAGTGTTACGTGACGGAACAAACTCTGCAGTGTGGACCACCAACACCTCGGCCTGGGGTAGACTATGGAAGGTAATATTTGCCGTAAAAGCAAAGCCGGGATTGATGAATGGTGATGTGTTAACACGAGTACACAACAGTAACGATGATGTGTTAATTTTTACTCAAACGCGACAATGAAGAATCACCTGCAGGATCTATCAGTTAAGTGTAGGGAAAAATAGTGACGTCAAGACACTTATAGCAAACACTAGACAGCAATAGTCTGGACACTAACCTACCATAACAGCCGGGAACTTACAGAAACAGACTCTACAACAATGGAGAGAGCTACCTGAGGCCTTACTGTCATGCTGAAGGCTAACACACCTGTCCTTCCTCCAGGTACAGTACAACCAGAAGAGCTAAACACAGGACCCTCAACCAATGGCAGCTTTAGCTTAGGAACACACTACTGTACCTTATTTGAAACAGATAGGAACCTTTACTACCTGTGTCTAATAACCATCTCAAACCTTTATGTGAAGTATGGCAGTAATCACTATAATAAATCGAACTATATAACTACGCTCTAAGATGAGGAGAAACAAGTATAGAGAATCCTAGTCGTAACCTGTGTCTCACCTTCTGCTTCAGGTAATTCAATAAAAGGTAAAGTAAAAATAGGAGCAAGAAAGAGGAGAGGAGATGAAATATATTTTCTCGACATTCACAAATACTGTATGTGTTGTGTGGGAGGTGGGGGGGGCTCACACACAACAGTCTTATGAAACACGAATACTTATGTGAAGAAAAAGTAATTCATTCAGAAAACATAAGGAGTAGTGCTGCATTAAACACACACACATACACACACATTCCCTCTCTCTCTCTCTCAAGGCCAAACCCAAATATACACACATTTGTAAGCTCACGTACATGAACAAGGAACACACACCCACGCACGCACTAACTGCACCCACACCCACGTCTTCGCCAACACACACACACACACTAAACCAGCCTCTCCCCACACACACACACACACTCATAAATCACCCACGCACACCTACCCACGTAACCCTGACACACACATACATACACACACGAGAGAGAACCTCTAGCCAAGACCAACACATGCTATTAATGCCATGGTAAAGATGCAGTTAAGTTATATTTAGGAAAGATTATATATCAATTGTACAAACATTTTTACATAAACATCTGGGAAGCTTCAGTGGTGATATGAAATTCAAAGACGAGTAAACTTATCACGGGAGTATTCTGAGAAGGTCGTATTATACCCAGGGATATATTATGCCATGATAACATCTGGATATAACAGGCAATAAGGTACATACGAGCGAAACTACCAAGTATAGATGACTCGGGAAAGTTGGCGAGCCTGAGCCACGATATAGGGAAGCCTTGGGGTGAGATAAAGCACTAAAGAGTTGCTTCTGCTGCAACAACACTCGATAAATAAGAAATTAGAGGACAGGTAAAAACAAATAATCGATATAAAGGTATGTGTGTTTACCTGAGGTCTTGTGTATTTGGTTCCTTTGAGTGATCCTGTGTTTGTCTCGAGAGCAAAACACAGATAACATTCACACAATAGAAATGGTCGAATTTTCGTATTATGTGAATGTTAATATCAATCATTTTATTAATATCGTTCCTATTAATAGTAGTAGTAGTAGTAGTAGTAGTAGTAGTAATCCTATTTCACAAGGAATATAATTAAAAAAAATAATAATATTAATAGCAAAATATGCAAACAAATAATAGTTCTTATATCCGAAGCTGCTGCTGACACGGGGTTCTGTAATACGCTTAGTAGGGATACAGCCTCTCTCACGGGTCGCTACTGATAGGTATTGTGTACAAGAACGAATAAAACGAGATGAAATTCGGCTTGTGTGTGTGTGTGTGTGTGTGTGTGTGTGTGTGTGTGTGTGTGTTTTCCACCCGGTTGAGATGTTAACAGAGTGAGCATGATGTGAAGATTAACAGAGATTCATGTTCTGCCCATTACTCTGGGTGAGGATAATGGAACGTGTATGTGAGGGAATGCCTTAGTGGAGATTGGATCAGAGACGTGACCATAAGTTATTGATATAAAGGATTCGTTAAGGACACTGAATCACCCAGAGGTTACTGAAATAGTTTTTGTTTATTTGGATATTAAGTTGTTTTCATTTTTACTAAACAACTTACCAAATATTAATCTATCGTTTTAACGTTTTGCGGATTTTTGTGTAATTATTTTAATACACGAAAACCTATGAGATGAAATATTTACAAGTAGATTAATATTAACATAATCTCTCTAAAATGACCTGTTTTACATTTCTAATCACACTTAGGTCACACAGTAGGCTAATAATACGAGTGTGTGGATCACTCTAGTGCTTTCTTGAGCCGTAGTCGCGTGTGTTTCTTAATATTAGATTAAATCGAATGTTCTTCATATCTACGTATGTTGTGATAAATATTCTTGTTCTTAAGTAATTTAACAGAGAAATAGATGATGAGTATACTGTATGTTGTATGCGACCTTAATTATGGTTTATGCAATAGCGTCATCAAGCTGTACGTTACAACTGCTCAAACGTTGTTGGCAAGAGGAAAACCTTGTGATCAAACGAATAAGGTAATCTGGAGCATCCGGGACATATAATAAAAATAACAGACACATTTTATCGTTAAACAAATCCTGATGATGTCGCTCAACTCCATGGTGGTTAGTTACGCCAGTCTTCCATTAACTTCAATGTTGTGTGAGGGTGGGTGGCCCCTGGTAGTGTGTGGGTGGCCCCTGGTAGTATGTGGGTGGCCCCTGGTAGTGTGTGGGTGGCCCCTGGTAGTATGTGGGTGGCCCCTGGTAGTGTGTGGGTGGCTCTTAGTAGACAAGAGGGTGGGTGGCCCCTAGTAGAGTGGGGCTGCTCCTGGTAGAGTGTGGACGGTTCCTGGTAGACAAGAGTGTCCTATACTACTAGGCAAGAGGGGAGGTGAGAAACGGGGTTACGTGTTGACCTCTTGGCTGCTCCTGCGCGGGACACCAGAAGCAGACGTTTGGCGACAGTAACAGTCATGTCTATTTCTGTGATTGCGAAGACAGCTTTTACTGATCTCTGTAACTTGTGTTGTGTGTGTGTGTGTGTGTGTGTGTGTGTGTGTGTGTGTGTGTGTCTTTCCTCGTTCATAAATATATATAAAGCTATTGTATTATTTGATACTGAAAAAACATAGACTTCTTGATCAATTAATTTTCTTTCGAGACCCAGTAAGTTTGACTGAAATTTTATAAATCAGTCATATTACAGTATTTATCATGAGGTTAATCCAAGCAAACTATTCATTCATTTTATATATATATTATTCTTAAATTAATCTACGTAAACCATTAATTTATTCCTAAAATTAATCCTACTAAACTACAGTATGTACTCAATAGTAAGAAATCCACAAAACTTACCTCAAAATTAAACCAAAAAATATATAGTTATCCTAATGTAAATCCTTCTCAAATTAGCTTAATAATAAACCCTCAAGACATCATTATATTGTTTGTGTACCAAGGCCACCAGAGGTACATATCAACATAGTCTGCCAACACACACTTTTGATCTGTGCTCGATCCAGTGACTGTGAGACGCGTTTATTCCATCCGCTGGAGATTTTGTCTAGCAAGGGAGGACCCGGGTCTTAGTCAAGCAAGCGTGTGATATCCAGTGGTGGCAGCACAAGGTTGAGTGAGAAGGGGGGGGGAGGTGAGTGGAGGAAGTGAATGGTAAATGGAAAAAGGAGGTGGAGGGATGGTATAGAACAATAAG